TGACCAATCAAATAAAGGAGAAGTTTTCTGCCTTCCCCATCACCACAAACAATGTACAATGGTGAAGCAAGGACAGAATGACTGCAGTACAAACAGTAGAAAATTGGAAAAACACAAGAGTCACTAGTCCAATAGTGAAAGAATCCTGGGCAGGCATAATGAGGAACGTGGCCATGGCACACAGGAAGTTCACAGGTCGGGTCATGCCTCTCTCTCTAAGAAGAGGCCCTTTGTCCATTGTTCTCTGTGGCCTCTGGTCTTGTTCCATGGCCAAGGTTTTTCCTCGTCCACTATCCTTTATGGCCACATCTGATGTGGGTGCTGTGGTCTGTGCCGTCACTGTCAATTGTAAGACGCTAGAAAGTTGAGGGCCCTGTGAACTGTTGTACAGTTTGAAGCCTCGTGGGTTATTAAGAACAGGCTCATGGATTCTTTGTCAATACTAATGTCTCAAAAGCTTAGCAGGTTTCTGATATATTTGCTTACAGTCAATGCAATGCAGCAATAATCACAAATTACTTTTCTAAACAATTTTCAACCTGCTTTATTTATCTCTATCAACTTAATCTTGAGGTCATCTGAAACAATACATTTGGATATGAGGACAACAGATTTACGCATATCTCCCACTGTTAGAGGTCCAAAAGCTGTTAAATTTTACGAAGTTCTCTGTTTCCTTTCATTCTGGTTACAAACAACTCAATTCTTGCCTGAATAATTATCTTACTAAAAGCAGTAGAGGCAGCTACACTCAGTAACATTTTGGCTGTTTCCAATCCCTTCTTCTAAAGCTACAAACTAAGCAGGTGTGTGGTCTGCCATACAAATGTTGGAGTGACAGTAGGGTATAGCCATGCAAATATCCAGCTACCTTGAAAGAAAAGCAGCCAGATATTAACCAGAATACTCTATCTCAGCAGTTCTCAACCTTCCTAATGCTGCTACCCCTTAATACAGTTCCTCATGTTGTGGTGACCCCCAACCATAAAATTATTTTCATTGCTACTCTATAACTGTAATTTTGCTACTGTTATGAATCATAATGTAAATATCTTTTTGTTTTCCAATGGTCTTAGGCGACCCCTGTGAAAGGGTTGTTCGAACCCCAAAGGGGTTGCTACCCACAGGTTGAGAACCTCTGCCTATCTGATGTTATAAATTGCAGATGCAATGCATATTCTCTAACTGTTTCCAAATTGCTGCATTTTAAAATCATTTGTTATCTTATTGAGGGCAGTAATGGAGTCTTAGAATTTTCTAATGTCTATAACACAGCCCAATACTGGCAATTTATTTCATGAATACTTATTGATAATCTTATGCCTTAAAGAAACATTAATTTTATAGCCAACTGAGATATTTGCTGATTTTCTGATCCCATTTTCATCATTTTATAGATTCATATAGAATAAGACAGCAATTAAATTACGGTTTGAATGTGGATGGGAGCAGGGAGAGCAGTTTCTTTTATGTAGGTGTTGATTTTTTCTTTATTATTCATGCAACCAAACTGCCATGTGTCAAGCATTCTCTGCTTAGAATGGTGCATCCAAGTGTATGTGTTTGTGTGTGCATCCAAGTGGGCGTGTGTGTTTTGAGACTAATTTTTAAGAATGTATTTGAAAATTAAGGTAGAAATCAATGATTACAAATTGAAACACATATAAAGTTCCACTTTATATAAATGATAATTCAGAAGATCACCAATATATTACTGTTAGTTATTTGTAGAAAACTTAAGAGTGTTGATGCATTAAGAGTGCCACAGATATTGTTCTTATCAGCATTCAGTAAAAGTGGTTCTTGATTTGGCTATTTTACGTTAATCATGATTCTCGGTTATCCAACTTTCTGGTGAGGGGCTAATTGGATGGTCTTGGTTAATGATGTCTGATTCGGGAACAGATGCGAGGCTAGAGCCAGGGGCTCAGAGGGAAGGGCAGGTTGTAGGAGAGAATAATATGTGCTAAAATCTCCCTACCCTGGTGAACAGCAGAGTCTATCAATATGTTTTTTATTAATGACTATGTGGCATCAGGAAACGATATTACGACACAGCATAGAACAGCTTCTACTACCAAAATCTTCCAAAGACAAATAACCTCTCCCTCTAAGTGAGTAAACTGGTTTCAATAACTTATGACATTTTAAAGTCAGATACTTGTTTTAGATATATATACACACAGCACTGATCCACAAGTAATTGTAAATTACAGTCAGTGCTTTGATTAGAACTCTGAAAGATAAGTCAATAGCCACTATGTAAACAATTGATTTATCTTGTATTTGTCAATGTTTGTCTGCTACCTCAGCTTCAAAATTGGAATGCTTTTTTTTGTCTTTGATGACGAAGGTGAGCTCTTGACATTGATGGGAATTTTGAAATGTGACAAAATTCTGGTCTATCAGGAGCAATTTTAATCTGTGAGAGCAATATCTACTGGGTATTGGTTGGAAGACATTACTTGGATATCAGATCATAGAAAAAAGCTGTCAAGTCCAAGTGTCTGAAGTCATTCTAAGTAAGGCTGAGTCTATTGGGAATCAGTTCTTAACCATATTTCAGTTTCAACACTGTGATTAAGTAAGACATTTGAAGATATGTTATATTTTAGAATGGACCACAATCTTTTATAAAGATCCTTATCTAAGCCACAGGTGATAAAAATTAAAATTAGATACTAGTGTTAAAATTTCAGTTATATAAGATGAATAAATCCTAGAGCTATACCATAAATATGGCACCTATATTTAATAACCCCATATTGTATACTTAAAAAATTGCTAGGCTAGATCTTATATTGAGTGTTATTATCATAAAAAACAATAAATAAATAAAGAGGGTGGGAGGAAACATTCGGAGGTGATGATTATATTTACAGCATAGATTGGTAATGATTTCATGAATGTATACTTAACTGCAAACTCATCAAGTTGCATACATTAAATATTTACAGCTTTGTGTATGTCAATCATACCTCAATGAAGTATTTTTTAAAAATTCCAACAGTCTGTTATAATAAATGTTCATGAAACTTGGTCACATAATTAGAAACATAAAATTAAGAATTACATAAGATTCATTATTCCAGGTAACCAATAGGTACCCAGTTGAGAATTAATTAAAACCTACCTTAAAGTGTCACTATTTTAGATAGAAATAGGTCTAAAATGAATTATTCAGAGCTGTGTTTTCTCATACAGAATATTCCAACATTATTTAGCTGTATTTGTATAACTCAGGTGGATTGTGCTATTTATCCATTAATGCCCTTTATCTGTCAAGGTCTAGTCAGGATAAAATGATTTGAGCATATCATTTTAACAGTAAAGAATTTAATATACGGGATTGTTAACTATGTGTAAGTTTATAACTAGGTGACTAAAAAGAGAAAAATAAAACATTACGGCATCATGGAAAAAGCCACTGCAGGAAGGAGCTACCACCTGTAGGACTGAGTGAACAAAGGGACTAGAGTGGAATTATGGAAACTGAGAACCTGGGAGAGGAGTGCCTGCCGAGCTGAAACTCCGCCCGCTGCAGGGGGGCACTTACTTCCTGCTGCTATTGGTGTTCTGCAACTTAGAGGAGCTGCTGTGTGTAGTAGCTACAAACGCAGACCTCTGAAAAGAGGGCACCTATTTGCTAGAGGTAATGTCTTTGATGATGGCATAATGTACCCATTTCTGAAAGTGTTGGGAAAACTGATCACTGGCTTCAACTGCTGTGATGACAACAAACTGCTGTCGCTACGGTGCAGTATTGCTAAAGTGGTGCTCCCTGGGACTGTAAGCCTAAAAGAAGCCCACAGGGAGAAGACAGGATGGATCAAGCCTTCTCTTCCTCCTCCAGCACTAGTGTGCCCTACAATCACTCCCTGTTGCTAAAGCTGAACAGAGAGTCACCTGGCGAAGCAAAAATGTGGAGTTTGGTACTGAGAAAAAAATAGCATAATAACTGGTACATGACATTAGGAGACAATCAACTGATGCAGAGGACAGAGCACATGCTCTTTCAATGAATCCTCCCAGAAAACCTGTGGACTTTTTGCAAGCACCTTGCTTGCCCCTCTTCTAAATATGTTACCCATGATTCACAGAAGAAAGGAGAAAGTTTGTTCAAGGTACCTGGTTTTATACATGACCTCAAAACAACAGTGTCCACATTTAAAGTGAGTCAATTTTTCTCTTACAAAATAAATTACAATGGCTTAACAACAACTGTTCACCTACAATTTTAGGAACTGTTATCACTTATATTTAGAATCTCGGCATTGTTCAGTAATCAAGATGATCAGAAGTCTGACTGATAATTTATAATACCTTAGCTAGCTGAAGCAACCATTATATTTTATGTAGTTCTTTATATCCTATTTGGATACAAAACAGGATGTAATAATCATCCAAATACACATGACTGACAGGTATTTTGACACTGTAAGCATATTTTTCTGTCTTGAATTAAGATAAAAATTTATATGATATTATATCAGACTTTGTATACAATAAATTGCATTAGTTCTTATAATTGGTGAATTTCCAAAAAGCATTTAATTTGGGAAAATATTATATTAAAATTAAGCATAAAGTAAGTAATTACTTCTGTCATACTTATGTCTATTAAACTGTTAGCTTGATAATACAGACAGATAATAATCCTGTGAAAGGGAGAACTAAAAACCGAACTCTAAAATAAGTATTTGTTTTTATCCTGCTTAAAACAAACAGCTTCCCAATGCAGCAATTCTAATATTACATTGCTTGATCTTGATACCTACATTTAGAAAGGATTCATAATATCAACAAAGATTAAGGAAGTTAGAAGTGGATTTCACAGAGATTATTTAAGTAGCTCTCTATAATTTTATCAACTAAGAATTTTAAAGAAAAATGTTTTCCAGTGGTAGCACTGAGGGAAAAACAAACAAACAAACAACAACAACATTACTGATGCATATTTTTCAACATAGGGGGTTAATAATGTTTAAAGTACTTCTTACCTATTAACATCCCAGATTTTACTCGTGGTATCCAGTGAGGAAGATGCTACAAAGTCACCACAGGAGTGCCATGTGCATGACCATACTGCGTGGCTGTGTCCTTCGAAGGTCAAAATGCAATTGCCTTCAGACAGGTCCCATAATTTCACTGTAGTGTCACCACTGGAAGTAGCCAACTTGTTGCCACTATTTGCAAAAACATAAAAAGTGTATTCGTTAAAAAAACACTTTACAATTTATTTTTTGAATGGTTGTATTCTGTAATTTGCATGTGTATGTGCTTCTGAGTTATTTTTACTTTTAATGGCATATCCACATGACTAAATCTTATTCTTTTAAGCCTACACAATTATATACTTACTTGTGTAGTAATTCAAGTTGATGAGAGTTGCACACTTTCTAGATTAATTATTCTATATTCTTCTAGATAAATTCATTAAATCAGTATATATATATATATATATATATATATATATATATATTGTGTTGGGTATATATATCATGTGTTGGGGGGGTTCAGGGCCATGTGTTAGGCTCTGTGGATGATGTAGCTTTGAATGATGACAATTTATGAGTAGATGTAGGCTAAGGTAACTTCAAAAACATAATACAATACGAAACAGTAGGTCAGCATCACTTATATTTGTATTAATAAACTGCTCCAGGAATACTGTTTAGATCATGATGGAAAAAATAAATCAGAATGAGGGGGCTTTTGAACTAAATCTTGAGAGATAAAAAATTCTGACGTGTTTGGCGGTTGAGAAAGAAGCATTGTATTTTTCCATTTAGGTCATTATTAGATGCTGTGGCTCTCAAGTGGTAGACACACAAGCTACTTTAAGAAATGAATGGGCATAATGACACAAAGAGAAACATTTGGGTTTGTTTTGGTAAAATATCAACTGCAAGAAAACTTCAGCTCCATCACCTTCTCCACATCCTCCTGCATCCCATGGTCCTTCTGTGTATTCTCTTAGTAACATTCCTGTCACTGATATAATAAGCTGCTGATGTGTCCTCCTTCCCTGTGTTTTTGATGGAGAACTGTGTTTCCTCTCTCTGTGTCTACAGCATCAAGTATCATGACTGACCCACTGACATGCTCAGTAAAAGTTTCCAGAATAAATATTTCAATGAATGGATGAAGTTATGCTGTAAGTGAAGAAGAAAAGGTGCCCATTATTTCTAAGAGAGGAAATGGCAGGTTCAAGGCAAATTTTTGCTTGCTTGCTTTTTCTTTTTCTTTTTTTTTTTTTGGCTAATTTTTATATTGAGAGAATTAAATGTTAATGTGCAGAAGAGAAACAAACACTGGAGAGGGAGAATTTAAAGGTGCTGCAGGAAAGGTGGGTTATAGAGTGAAGAAGTTCTCATTAAAGTTATAAAAGGATATCTATTTTATTTTTCAAATTAGCAGAGTCCTTTTGTAGCTGTTTTCTATTTTCCCATTCAAAATTTTACTTTTTACTATTAAAGACCAAATAAAATTTTCTATAAATATCCAAATAAACACAGAAATCAAAACTAATTTAACTGTGCCTCTTTTTCAAATTTTTCTGATGGGATAGCATCCTATAATAGACATAAGTCTTGCTCTAGGATAAGAATTGCTGTGGTATATTTCTGCCTGTGGTTGAAAGACCCTTTCAGATAAGTTTCACATACTTCTCTCTTGCTTTAAACTATGTGACAAGACAAAAAAAAATCACAATAGAAATACAGTAATACCTTGGTTTGCAAGCATAATTCGTTCCAGAAACAAACTACTCATATTGCAAGACATCGCTTGTTTACCAAGTTAAAATGTATTAGAAATGTTTGCTCATCTTGCAGAACACTCGCAAACCAAGTTACTTGCAATTCAAGGTTTTTCTGTAACTACAACTGGAATACAGCAGTTGTAATAACCTTTCAAAGTGTCACAAACTGATATTCAGTCAACAATAGATATAAATAATATTCTCACAGGTTTTAATATATTGAGATTATTGCTCATGTGTATGAACTCAACCAAATCCAAAATATACAGAATAAGAATTTCGAAATTTCTTTGAAATGTTTTCATTTATAAATGGCATGATTCGAAACATGCAAACCTGTATGCTTTTGGTTCACAGGAAAATAATGACGTCTTTGAGGGGTGAGCATAAGAAAAAATGATGAACTAAGATTCAAAAGATGCTCCAAGTCAAGAAAAAGTCATGGTTTCCCTCAGCTCCACACAAATAGGAGAAGCCAAATCCTCAAAGAGAGCAAAAACAGGTCCATACTCTTAGCATATAGACTACATCATTCTAATGCAGGCTCTCAGCATTCCAGAGATAAAAGTCAAGCAAACATGAGCTTACCAAAAACAAAAAAAAAAAGTACCAAACAATGAGAAATAAAAAGCCATGACTGAGGGTAAAGTGATAAAATTAACAAAGATTTACGCCATGAAGGACCCTACTTGTTGTAATTATAAGGTACAGAATATAACTATGAATGAAATGTATAAAGAAATAATGAAATAAAAATTATCAAGCTACACAATATTATAAGATGAATCAGATCTGAAACAAAATAGCACATTTAGAAATTTTAAAAAATATTGAAATTAACAAAGAGCTCACTCAAGAGTGCGAGCTCTGAGCAACAGCAGTTCGAGTCCCAGCCCGAGCTGAGCAGCGGCTGAGCTGCCAACAGGTCGCAGGATGGCTCAGCTAAAAAAACCAAAACAAAACAAAACAAACAAACAAACAAACAAACCAGTGAATGGGTAAAATAGCAGATTAGACATAGTAAAAGACAGAGTAAATAAATTAGAAGATAAATGCGGAAAAAAAATTACTCTACTAGAGTATAAATAGACAGGAAATGAAGTGTCTTAGTCCACTTGGGCTGCTATAACAAAATACCATGGACTGGTGTCTTAAACAACAGAAATGTATTTTTCATAGTTCTACAGGCTGGAACGTCCAAGGTGAAGGTGTCGGTCAGTTTGATTCATGGTGAGGGCTATCTTCCTGGCTTGCAGATGGCAGTCTTCTTTCTGTGTCCTCACATACCAGAGAGAGAGGAAGTTCTGGTGTCTATTCTTCTTTTTATGAAGATATGAATCTCATCATTGGGTTCTACTCTCAGGTCCTTATCTAAACCTAATTATCTCCCAGAGCTCCTACTACCTTATAGCATCATATTAGGGGTTATGGCTTCAAAATACAAATTTGTCAGCCGGGGGGGACACAGATATTCAGTCCATAACAGTATATAAGTTAAGAAAAAGGGACAACAGAATTAAATTTTAAAAAATATTAATTTCTTTTCCTTATCAAAACCTCAGAAGAGAATAGTATAAAGGGATAGATGTAATACTCAAAGAATTAAAGGTTGAGAATTTACAGACCCTAGAAAATTTAAGACTTAGAGCCATAGATTCAGGAAGAAAATTGTATACGAAGGAGGATAAACAGTGTAAAAAAAAAAGAAATGTTCACTTAGATAAATTTTAGTCAACTTCAGACCACCATAGGCAACAATAATTATAATTAGAAGAATAAGGAGAAGAGAGAAAAAAATAGAAGGAAAGGTTATTTATTTACATAGTGCTTAATATGTGATAGAACCCAACTAAGTACATTTCTTATATTTTTAATGTTCACAACCATCCTATAGGATGGGCACCATTATTATATTCAAAACACTTGAACAACATCAGAGAGCTAGCAAGTGGCAGATTTAGATTTTCTTCAAAGAGCTAAGAGAAAATCATGTTACTCTAAAACTATCAAAAATCTCTTTCAAAACACAGGCAAATAAAAATAGCTTCCGCTAAATAAAGCAATTCTCCCCTATGGGAACTTCCAAGTGTGTATACTCAGAGGAGAAAAACAAAAAATCCTAGAAGGGAGATCTGAAATGAAGGAATGGTGAGCAAAGAATTTGGTAAACATGTCAATATATTCAAGTATTTGTGTATATAAATAGAGTTTGAAAAAATAAAAACAAAAAACAACAACAATAATATTGACAATAATGTTCTTATCTTCAGAATGGAAGGTAATACATTGATACATTTTAGACTTTGTTAAGCCTGGATAGTAAAACGTCAAGGATAACCATTATAAGAACAGGAATAAAGTATATACTTTTTAGACATGTATAAGTAAAAATAAATGGGTTAAAAAAAAGCAAACAATTGCAACATCTATCCAAATTATAAACATATATCCAAAATAAAGTAGGAAAGGAGAGGGGGAAAGCACTGTAAGTGGTACACGCAGGAAACAAACAAAAGGTAAAAGACAGTAGAAAAAAATCCAAACATAATAATACTAATAAATACAAATGGACTAAACTGTAATTTAAATGACAAAGATTTTTTAGTTTGGCTAAAACAATTCAGCAATATGTTGCTTACATAAGGCACACTAAACTCCTAAAAACATACAAAGATTGAAAGTATAAAAGGTGAAAAATAGCTAGCTAGCTAAAGGAAATAAAAATGAAGATGAAGTAGACAAAAAAAGACCTTAGGGCAAAAATGTGTGATTAGGGATAAAAAGAGTTTCCATATAAAGACAAAATGCTTCATTCCTAGAAAGGGTTAAAAACTAAATTATATAAAAATACTAAATGCATCTTAACTGATAAAAAGTAACAATGTTAGAACCATAAAAACAAAAGTGACCAATCTATAGTCAACATGAAAGATTTACACACCTCTCTCAATTTATTTTTCTAATTCAAAGTATAAATAAAGATATGGAATATTTAAGGAATTGAAACCACATATTTTAATGGCCATTTATAAAATCCTTTACCAAATAACTGGGACTACACATTATTCTCAAGCATTGAGGTCTGACAATTAAATTCATGAACTTGTTGCAACAATGTTGCCAACATTTTTTATATCAGGGGGATTATTCATTACAAACTTGTACCAACTGGACAAACAGTTAGCCAAGATTACTATTTGAAAGACCTGAAAGGCTGCATGAAAACGTTAGACAACCTGAACTTTTCGCCAAAAATTCATGGCTCTTGCATCACGACAATGCACCAGCTCACAAGGCACTGTCTGTGAGGGAGTTTGTAGCCAGTAAACAAAGAACTGTATTTGGACACCCTTTCTACTCACCTGATCTGGACCCCCAAAGACCTCTTTCTTTTCCTGAAGATGGAGGAAATATTGAAAGGAA